ACGTGATGGTTACAGCGCATGCGCAGATTGCTCTTGCATCTGATTACTGATAACATTCACAATGAATCTCATTAACTTCATATTCTACCTAGTGAATATCGTTAACTAGCAGTGGTTAGGTTGATATGGCTTATATAACACCCGGCGGTCCCTTTGATCTTACAGTAACTATAGTATATATAATGATAAAGATCTACCCAACATTCAATTTGTTTTCTTGTTCTGCCAGGTGTTGATGATCTTGTTGATGTTCTTGATTTATTGAAGAGATGCGGGTTTCCTAAAGCAAATTGGTATGAGCTTGGACTGAGACTAGGACTAAAGAAGAATACACTGGATATCATAGAAAAGAATCATCCTCATGATGTATCTCGTTGTATGACAGAGTGCCTCTCCCAATGGTTAGGTAGAGCTGATAATGTTGACAGTAGAGGAGGAGCCAACTTGGACTCATTGTCAGATGCTCTACGATCTATGAATGAAACTGCTGTAGCTGAGAAGTTAAGTGAGTCAACCATATAACTGTATGTAACTATAATCATTGTATTTTCTATCATAGAACATCATGTTCTTATTAATATTTTTAATAATCGTCATACTGTCCTGTCTCAGTCTCTTTGTGATCCTGTTAGTATTGCTTGGTTACTTTATGGGGAACGTATGTTAACACAAGAAGCAGTTAGTAGAGTGGTGTCAGCTAGTTCCTCTATTCCTAATCAACGTGAGGCTCTATTAACTGGTGTCAAAGAAGCTGTTCAAACTGATCCCAACAGTTTACATACATTTGCTAATGTATTGTGTAGAATAAGTACTAATGTATCACTAGGACAAACTATACTGGATGATATTAGTGAGTATGATATCTTTAAAATTTTGTTTTATTAGTTAAAACTCTATTCAGTATATCCTAACTAGTGCATGACAACTGTTTGTTTCTTATCATGTTTATAGGTAATTTTTTTCCTACTCCTGAAGTAGGTTTTGTTCCTGGGACTATTAAAGATCATGATGTAGCTCCACAAGGTAATAATTATTAACTAGTCTAGACAGATGTAAAAGAGGTGAGCCTAAGCAAGCAAAGCGATTTACATGCATGATATGATTTTGCAACTACAAACTTGATGGATGTAGTTCTTGATGATCTACCTTTGTAATTTCTGCAGCAATTAAAGTTACCCTGCTTTTAGCATTTTAGCTACAAGCAGTTAATGCACAAATGATATAGCTAGATAAGCAGCTGTAGCAATGAGGGTTTTGGCTTCTTGCATGCTCCAAGTTATCTCAGGCTGTGACTAACATTCACAATTATTTACAACAATGAAGAACTTAGCATATCTGCTTTTTTAACCTTCCTTTCTGGCAGTTGCTACATTTGGATAGCAGTACAGTCTTATCAAGACTGTACTGCTAATGCTAATCCAAGTCGTGACTTCAGTGACTTGCAAAACAAGCCATTAAAGACAGAAGGTTAGTATTCTGTATTTTTCTGTGTACTATCGTTTCTGTCGACACCCTCTGATATACTACTGGGGCTTTGCTCCAGTATAATACACTGTACAATGATTATACTTGTATATAATATACAAATTTATATATAGAAGTCAAGTATAGATATGAATATGGGCACAATTGAGACATCAGAATCATGGTGGTGCAGTGGAGAGGATGGGCTGTAGGAGCTAGACGTGGGAGCAGGTTCAAACCCACCTTAGGCCATGCTATGTTGCAGAATGGATTTATGGCTTTTTTCTTTCTTTTTCACATTGTTGATTCCCTACTAAGCTATGTACCCTAGTTATGTTAGGAGTCCCCGCAAAGTTTGAGTTTAGGGTCTAGTTTTTTATTTTAGAGCGTTCCCTAGTTATGTTAGGAATCTCGTCAGCCACATCTACATAGTATACAGATTACAGAAACAATAATACACGGAAAAATACAGATGCTAACCTTCTGTCGCTAATAGCATGTCTTGCAAGTTCAGCTGCCATTTTCATAGATAATAGAGTAAATGAAAGGGATGGGAAACTACAGTTCCCGCCCGGTGATGCGGTTTTTGTCACTCCTGGTTACCTGGTTGGCAACGTCCGTGTTTATCTGCATTGAGTGCATTCCCCAGTAGCTGTTGTGTAGAAAGGATCTCGAAGGAATATCATGTGACTATTAGATAGTGCTTGCTTATGATATATCTTCTGTTCCACATAGAAAGTTTATGGCTACCTATAGCAAGGTTTTTGTTTCTATAGAGCTATTTTTCGACCAGTTATGGGTACACAAAGTCGGCATCTTTTTTGACACTTTTTTGCCTCTACAGCTTTCGTGCTTTTGCTATTCTAGTGTTGCCTCATATCATTGGACTCGCCACGCTTGCGTAGGCGGGTACTATGTATGCAGTTGGGTTGTCATTCTGTCATTCTGTCACGAAAATTCCTGTTAATTCCTAGTCAATATCTTTTTTACTGAGCTCTCCTGAGTTATAATTCTTTTTAAGCTTTGAGAAAAAGATAATTTATTTAGCTCCGTTGTATTTTCATAGCAATCCGTGGTGGCAAAAGCCGAATATTTTCAAGAATAGACCACTTTTCCTAGCCAAATCTTTGTGTTTCACTCTATTTGGTCAAGATTAGCATTGATAGGTAGAGAAAAGTACATAGATTAAAAAATATGTGGGAATTTTCTAATCTCTTTTTTGTTTGCGAGCTACAGTTGCTCAAAGTTTGTGATTTAGCCTCTTCAAAAAATTTTCAGGCAGCACTGGGGAAAGCAGGAGCAACCAAACTATCTCAGTCTCTTTTAAATATCTAGGCAATTTTTTTGTGCTTACTCTTTCTTTGAATAGAGCTTCAGATGCTAAAATAAATTCCAGCTTTTCTTCTTTCTCCTACTCACGTGCCATATTTATCTACACTGCACAGTACTGCTAGGTGCTGACCACACCTAAAATTTATTTTATGGATCAGTGCAGTAATTGCATTGTGCACT